GTCGTTACAAGGCGGAAAACAGTCGCTGCAACACTGCAGACGTAAGGTCTAAAACACGACAGTTTACTGTGATACCTGTATCAAATACATCACCATAGAATGACCATATCTTGTTTGTTTTATTCATCATCAGTCTCGGGTGAATACTCTCTTTTGTCCGACAGAGTACATCAGTTTGGGCTGCTGCCGCGCATCAACTGAACTCATGTTCAAAGCAGTGTATAGCTCAGTGTTGTTTGAGCGTTTGCAACCCTACTGACCATCGTTTGAAGTTACAAATGGGTTCATCATATTCAAAACTTTCGAGCCAAAGGTCTTGAGCACTGAGAATACCCCAACACCTTGCGTTGAATCTGTGCCTTTCTTAAGCAATTGTCGTGCCCTGATTTTACGTGTTTCTCCGGATGTTTTGTTTCTAACTTTTGTCTGAGAGTGTTGGATTGAGGAATATGTTTGCGTACTGGAGACAATGGACTCACAAACCAAAGTCTTTCCAGTATGGGAGCCTCGGCCTTTTTACTGTGGATTCTTGGTTTTACAGCCTCTACCTTCACCAAACTTTGTCTGACCAAGAAAGTTTGGTGGGTTCTGTTGGGTTGGTGCAGCTTTTAACATTCTCTCCAACAGTTTGGACACATTTAGTTCTGGTTTCTGGTTTACAGCATTAGGCGTGACCACAGACGGTTTGTTTGCAAAACTGTTATCGGAAATTGATTCGGAAGACACTGGAGTCATTTTCTTGTTCTTAGTAGGGTCATTTCCACTTGTTGTTGATACTTTCTGTTCTTGATCTGAATAGACATTGCCCCTCGTTCTCTTCTCAGGCTGCATAAGCTCATATCGAGGTGTTATTTTTGTGTGTTGAGAATGTACAGAACCGACAGTGTGTTTCTGGCCCTTCTCTGCAGAGGATGGTTCGAAACAAGGGGATCCTGTCTGTGAATGTTTCCCTAGAACCGTTGAGTGATCTCTTAATGTCTCTTTACTGGGAGATTTACATTTTCTTCTGATGCTCTGTCGTTGTAGCTTCTTTGGGGAATATTTATTTACCTGTATTGTGGAAGGACAGGCAGGTTGGTACTCTTTAGTGACAGTTGAAAGTGTCGCATCTACTCTTTTATCTTTTCTAATGATGTTCGTTGGTACAGCATGTCCAGTCACTTTCCCAATATTATCATTTTCGGTCCTGGCTTCAAATTCTGGTGACCGGGGAGAAATACCTAACTGCTGAAGCACATCATGGGTTGTTTGATTTTCATGAAAGTTTTGAAGGTTCATTGACTTATCTTCAGAAGGTCGTATTGGTTGAGATCTTCGTCCGGATGAGACGGCCAAGGCTGGTATTGTAGAAACATTGCTCAGTGACATCTCAGTTATTTTCATATTCAAGTTCATTACTGTACTCGGCACTGTGGCTGAAGAAGATAAGGTTGTTTGACGTCGACAGATGGGAATGTCCTTGGGACTCTTTGTCGGAAGATGCCTTGACAGTTGTCCATTTTGATCATACTTTATTTTCTTTGCATCGGTATGAAACTGTGATTTCTCTCCATCATCACACGCAGGTCTCTTTCTCGGCATCAAGCGGAATGTAGGTGCACTATGATCATCTAAAGGGCTATATCTGTCTGGATCTTCAGTAGCATGGCTAGGTAGGATAGATACATGCTGTGATTGTTCTCTATCATCTTTTGAAGTTTTGGATTCATTATTGATAACTGTCACACCGGCATTTGTCATTGAGCAGAGAATCGGTTGTATGTCGTTAAGCATTGGTTTCTTTCCCTGCAGGTCTCTAATACATTCCAGGTAGGACCTTCCACAGTGATGGACATGTATGCTCTCATTAAGCCAGAACACTGACACCAGCTCAAGTTCCTCCTTGGGAAGATTGAGCAAGAACTTTACTATCTCCTGCTTGCCATCATCACTGAACTGTTTCCGAAGCTCCTTGATGATATTGCTTGTTGGCGAACTGACATAGATGGTTTCCCACTTGTAGGCTATCTTGTACACACCACTTGGCCTGCGCGTCGTCCGCACGATGACTGAGTATGGTACATGACCTCTGTGCAACAGCTTGCATGGTTTCATCTGGAATAAAAAGCAGTATTTTGGTAACACCTCAATACAAGTCAGTAAGCCAGCCAGTAAAACATTATGAGTGAGTGGGTGAGTTTGGTTCAACACCGATTTGAACAGTATTCCTGTCTTATCACGGCGTGTCAGTTTGACATGGGAGGAAAGCCCGAAGTGATGCAGGTCTTGGATGTTTACGAATTTGACAATCCTAGAAACATAATCAGGAGAATCTAGATTCAAACCCACGATCATAGTTTTCTGGTACGCTTAAGGAATTTCAGCGCCTTAGGCGACTATGACATAGACAAGAGGCACATTGTTGGTGTTCATGACGAGTTGATGACGAAATAAAATCAATGGGAAATTAACTAATATTGTTCATGAAACATTCCTATTACTTCTTGGGGCACGGGTGGCCCAGTCGTCTAAGGCGCCGCGATTCGCTGTGCAGCAGAGTTGCGTCCCTTGGGCACGCCAGAAACCTATGATTGTGGGTTCGAATCCCGGTTCGCCCCGATTATGTTTCTAGGTTTGTCATCACCATTCCCGAGCTTGTGGGTTTCACCGAAGTGGTAAACGTCTGAGTCCTGCATCACTTCGGGCTTTCCTCTCACATTAAGCCGAGACGCCGCGATATAACTGTCGGCGTTAAACCCAACTCACTCACTCAGTCACTCCTATTACTTCGTTACGCCGAAGGCCCGGTTCGATTCCCCATATGGGTCCAATGTGTGAATCCCATTTCCGTTGTTCCCCGTCGTGATATATTGCTGGAATATTGCTAAAAGTGGCGTAAAGCCATACCACTTCATTCATTAAAACTACTTACGGCAATCAAGGGTATCGACATGCGGCCTGTTTTTGGCACCATAGCCTGTTTGTCTTTTTTTCTATTCAATGGCCGCTCTGTCTTCGAAGATCTCTCTGTGTCCATATATTGTCCTTTATTAATGCACGGTGTCTGGAAGTCCTTTAAACGTTCACACTCTTGTTTGGTATTTGTTTCAGGTTGCGACGTAACGTCATCAGAAGCACTAGCTATCAGCCCCAGTGCTGTCTCAGCAGTTCCCTGTTCGTCCTGGCAATGCAATACCCCATGTGCTGCAGGAGTCGGACAGTCATTCCTCTGTGTGTGATCTCTTGGTTTTTCTCGAGGAACAGAGCTGTTTTGAACATGTGCAACAACCTTTGTTCCCTGTTCGTCCTGGCAATGCAATACCCCATGTGCTGCAGGAGGCGGACAGTCATTCCTCTGTGTGTGATCTCTTGGTTTTTCTCGAGGAACAGAGCTGTTTCGAACATGTGCAACAACCTTTGTCTGTTGGATTGAACCGTGCAAACTCGTACGAGATGTCGAGACCTGGCTCGGTTCCTGTTCAACCAGCTCCAGATTAGTCGGCCATGGGTGCTAGACATACACTGGTATGAAGTGTGAGTACAGCTTTATGTTGTGTGAGTTGTAGAGAGGATGCACCTGTGGCTTTCCAGAGTCATTCGGCCCAGGCAACACGCCCCGGTTATTCATGACTGTGCTGAAATGGAAAGTGTACATAGATGTATTGAGCGAGTGGGTGAGTGAGTCTGCTTTAACGCCGCTTTGAACAATATTTCAGTTATTTCATGGCGTTCCAACGAGTGGTAGTAAAGCCCGAAGTGATGCAGGTCTTAAACGTTTAGTGCAGTCCACGACCACGGGATTCGAACAAACGATCATGAACGATACGCTCCAAAGACCCACTACTCTGCACAGCGCATTGCGGCGCGTTGGAAGACTGGGCCGCCATACAATTGATACCCCATTACTTCATAACTGTAACAAAGTCACAACCTTGACTTCTATTGCTGAAAACAAGACTTGATAAACATTACATATTAACACATATTAAACATTAATAATAATGGGGGCACGGGTGACCCAGTCGTCTTAGTCGCCACAATTCGCTGTGTTGAGTTGCGTCCCTTGGGTATGCCAGAAACCTATGATTTTGGGTTCGAATACCGGTGTGTTCAATTATGTTTCTAGTTTATCTAGCACCAAACCCATTACCGTTTGACAAAAGTGGTAAACGTCTGTGACCAGCAGCACTTCAGCCTTTCCTCCAACATTAAGCTGACACGCCCTGATATGACTGGAATATTGTTCAAAGCAGCGTTAAACCCAACTCACTGTCTCACTTAATAACAATGCTGATCGGAAATGTAGTGTTTACTCCAATTATTAAAGTTTCAACATTCCAAAAGTAAAAAAATCTCTCTAGAATAAAGTGTGCGTGTGAAATAACGTTCAATAACAGTTGACCCTAAAAAGTGTGGGTTTCAGCTGCATGCTAAGAATGCTGGCAGGGGCCGACTGTGTGTTATCAGGGTCACGGTGACATTATACAGCTTGTTTCATAACACTGAATCGCTCAGATGAATCATTCTATGATTACTCCTCCTTACATTATATATCATCCGTTCTAAACCCCTTATTCATAATTGCTGACATTTAGCGCACTATTATACGACATTAATTCGAACTTGTTCAAGCAAGTAGAAAACACACACACACACACACACACACACACACACACACACACACACACACACACACACACACACACACACACACACACACACACACACACACACACACACACACACACACACACACATACACACACACACACACACACGTTAAGGACTGATTGTCGTTATGCAGGGCTGTTCTCGTCAGGATATGGCTGAAATACTGCCGATGTGTCGTAAACTTTTAACTCACTCACTCTTCGACCCTTATATCACAGGGTGGCTGTTGTTGACGGCATACCTCTGTTGAGGACTGATTTAATTGTCGTTATGCAGGGCTGCACTACTAAGAATTTATCACAACGGAAGAGAAAGTAGATTTCCCAGAACACTGACGCCTATATGTAGGTCAGGTGCACAGTCTTACAACCTGGTGCAGGAGACGCAGTGTGCAGACATCCTAGATTCCTATTTCAGAACCCAAATACACCCCTCACGTTCCACACAGGTAAGACATGTTTATTCAGTGTTTATGTATAATTGCTCTTATCGTTAAAAGATGGAACTTGTTGTTACCCTGTCTGGCGCTCGGCATTAAGGGGCTAAAACAAGGACTGGTCGGCTCGGAGTAAGTATGCTGTGTCTGAGTGGGGTATTCATGTTAAACTGCGGCATGGTATCTCGGTGAGCTTGCACTATAAATCGGCATCAGTCCGGACCAGTACAACCAGCCACACACACACACACACACACACACGCGTGCATGCACGTCGCTATATAAGTGCAATAATCTTGGACGCGACGTTAAACCCACCTCACCTCACTTGTTGGTATCGGCGACAGTGTGAGTGACAGGGGTGGGAGAACGTAGATAGGCACTAAATGGCTCATACAAAATTGCCGAGAATGGTCGGACAATCTATGTGGGCAATGCCGAAAGTGCATCAATCAGAAGAGCACTGAGGAAACATTTCAAAGGAATGGACAAACAACACATTGGAGCATATCTAAGCACCCTACACGAAGAATACAAAGAGGAATTTATAACAGTGTTTTGGCTTGATATTACCATCAAACATGCCTGTAATTGTAGCTACCTTAAGTGTTTTGAAAGAATGGAAGGAAGAAAGCCACTGTACAACATGCAGGGCCATGCCTTCATCGCGCGACCAAAACGAGTCGGTTCTTGTTCTGAATCTGGCCCAGATGATCACAAAATGGATATTCATGAAATCGAAAAATCGGAGTAAAGGATACTTTGCGAACAGTTGGAATTTGAATAGGGCAAATGTATTCTCATTTGCATAAGTTGAGGTTAATAACTGTTTCTTTGTCTCACCTATTATTTTCATATGACTTAGTTGAGCTGAATAAAGATATCGTCAAAAGGAAGATTACCTTTGTTATTATTGAGGTCATATATTTGACATGGCATCAAAAGGGTTGTCGTCACGTTTACTGACATTTTTGGTTATTAATATAGCCAGTCAGCTTATCAGAGTGAGTGAGTGAATTGAGTTAAACGTCGCTTTTAGCAATATCACGGCGATAGACACCAGAAATAGGCTCCACACATTGTACCCATGTGGGGAATCAAACAAAGAGCTTCAACGTGACGAGCGAACGACAGGCCATTTGTATTGGTTTAAAAGATAGGATATTTTGTATATAATAATAAGTGACCAAACAATAACCTGTCTCGAACACATACACTTACGAAAGGTGAGGGATAAGGGTGTTATATTGTGTAACATTGGTGATTTCGTCATGGCAGTCATATTGTGTGATTCATTATGCATGCTGTCGTCCATTAGTTTGTCTTGACCTGGCATGATTGGGAACGGGGCGGTCGGGTAGCCTAGTGGTTTAAGCGTTCGCTCGTCACGCCGAAGACCCGGGTTCGATTCCCGACATGGGTACAATGTGCGAAGCCCATTTCTGGTGTCCCCCGCCGTGATATTGCTGGAATATTGCTAAAAGCGGCGTAAAGCCATACTCACTCACTCACTCATTCATGATTGGGAACAGGCCACAGGCAGTTATCGCCATAACATTGCTGACTGGTTGAAACAGCATTTTACTCGGTTACATTTCTAAATGACAATATTGTTTGTGGTAAATTTAAGTATTAATGTTATTTGTTGTTTAAAGCTGCATTCAGCCCAGTTATAGTCCAGCTACACGACGGCGGCTTTTTTAAAACTGTTTTTTTCTGTACGATTCCGAGTCGTGCTGTCTAACAAATAGCAAAACCTATTGTATTTGTTCACGTTTCAGACATGGCAATGTTCACGGACATCAACCGAGACAAGTACGGAGTTGTTCGGGGTAGGTGTCGAGACTGCCCCGAGGACTGTCCTCAGTATTCCCTGCCTGTCCTCAGACACAACTGTACATATTGCGGGTGTCCAGCGGGTCAGCATGAGAGGGTGGAACCTCGACCTGAACACATCATCAAGATGGAACCAGGGGAGGAGGGGGCAGGATCCCCGGGGCGGAGTGATGACCGACCACCACGCGGTCCGTCGAGAAGAGCCCAGCCAAGTACCTCCAGGCGAAATGAGTCGCCCACTGGCTCACGAAATCACCAGGATACATCACGTACAGTAATCCAGGTATCATTTCAACCCAGTTAACTTAGAAAGTTTTAGAAGTTAGTTTGTCATTCGTGAGGTTTCATTTTAATGTAACCTTTTCTGTATGGTTTATATTGTGTAAGCATCAGTAATGGATTGAGAACATGATAACTATCTTAGCTGCGACCGAGGCTTTGAACATAAGCACGTGCATACGTACGTTATTTGTTGTTACACCACAAACCTATGGAATGGGGGATGAAACTGACTTGATTGAACAGGTTTCTACCAGCTGCACTTTAAATATTCAACTTGTATGTTTCAGAAACGTTGTCAGACGTTATTTGAGGATTCTGGCGTCACATATTCTCATCTTCAAAGAAACCTTACAAAAACTCAACGCGGCGTGTTTACAATCCTATGGAAGGGAAACATAATTTATGTTGGGGAGCCAAAGAAGACGCCCCTATTAACTAACCTTCGTGGTATCTTTACTGGTGGAAGCCAACAAGACATCAGCAAGTATTTGAAAAGTTTAGCCAACGATTTGAAAGAGAAGCATGTCCGAATCGCTTGGCTGACACACATGGATGACGACCCACACTGCCAAACGTGCAGAGAAGGCAGGAAAAAGCTTTCGTATCGACATTGTGTTTCAAATCTGCAAAGCAAGGATCCGAGGAAGGTCCTCTTGGATCTCAAGACAAAATTTTCACGCCATTAGAATCAAAATGTTTCTCGTGTTTCAACTGACCACTAATTGTAGTGTTTAGTTTGAAACCTTTCTACTCCTAGCATCGTCTTTGTAGCTGTATGTCTCTTTATCTCAACAGTCTGTAGCATAATTGTGGTTTTAAGGATTTTCTGGGAAAATATCACAAGACCAAATAGCGTCCATTCCAATTTGGAATGAACGTTGGAATGCTTTGGAAAGATCGCTCATTCCAAACTTTCCAAAGCTTGGAAAGATCGATCTTTCCAAAAAATCCAAAATTGGAATGGCAACATTTCCAAACATATTTCCAACACTGGAAATGTTTGGAATGACTTGGAATGGTTTGGAATTGTTTGGAAATGTTTGGAAATATGGTTAGAAGGAACAAGTTAAAATATGTTTTATCAGTAATTTGAACAATAAAAAGACTATGAATTAGGGGCTTTAGGGGTTGCTTATACAGTAATTTTGAAATTTTGAGATTTGGAAAGAATGCCAAGAGTGGGTGGGGGACGAACTAAGGGAGCTGTGTGTTGGGTGGTTGTTAGATAAGGTAGTTTTGGTTTTATTATTTAATTTGGGGTTTAAATGCGACTTATTAGTCCTGTTTTAATAAGGTATAAACCTAAGACTTTGAATTTTTCTAATTTATTTTATGGATTTAGGAGTGATTCTAGTGTAAGTTCGGTTTTAAGATTTAGGGTGGTCTGTAGTGTTGTTCGGTGTGTTTGGTAGTGTGTGCAGTGAATGAGTACGTGTTCTGGTGTTTCTTGTTGTTTGCAATGTGGGCAGTTTCCTGTTTTGTGTAGATTAGCTATTTTACGGTGATTATTTAGTTTGGTGCCGCCTGTTTGTAGTTTAGTAATAATTCTGTCGATTGTTTTGGATGGGTGTAGTATTTTTGGTTTATTTAGGGTTTTTTTTTAGTACTTTCCTGATTTGGCTATTTAAGTTTTGGTATATATTTTGCCATTTTTTGTTGATTTTTTGTTTAGTGAGACCTTTGATTTCTGATTTTGAGCTGGGTAAGTTTAAGCTTATTTCTGGGAGTTAAAGGGATAATTTTGCTGCTTTATCTGCCTTTTCATTTCCAAAGATTCCTACGTGGGCGGGTGTCCAAAGGAACTCTATTTGTTTCCCTGCCCTAGTTAAGTTGTTTGAGCTATTGAGTATTTGATTTATTAGTTTGGGGTGGTTTTTTAGTGTTTTTGAGGGCTTGTAGTCCACTGAGGTAGTCGGTTAGGATGAGGATTTTTTGTTGTTTTTTAGATTGCTGATTGTCTAGTGCTGAGACAACTACTGACTGATATAGAAGATTTAACGTGCGCTTTCCGACTGCAGCGTATTTCGCACACGGGCCTGGCCGGACCATTTAGTGTATTCCGAAAAGGGTGAAAGTGGTGTGTACAACCCAAGAGTGAGTTTTAGGGGTTGCTTGTATTGAATCTTTGAGATTTTTAAATTTGGAATAAATGCCAAGGTGGGTGGAGGAGGGAACTAAGGGAGCCGGTTGAGGTGGGTGTTTGTATGTTTATTGGATTTTGGATTGGTAGATTAACTAGTTTTTAGATGCGCTTAATTAGGTCTGTTTTGATTAGGAATACGCCTAGGGCCTTGAAGTTTTCTAGTTTATTTTGAGGGTTTAGTATTTCATCTAGAGTAGGAACCTTATTTAGATTGAGGTTGGTTTGTAGTGTGGTTCTGTGTGTTTGGTAGTGGGTGCAGTGGATGAGTGCGTGTTCTGTGGTTTCGGGTTGTTTGCAGTGGGGGCAGTTGCCTGTGGTGTGTCTTTTAAGTTGTTTTAGGTGGTTATTTAGGTTCGTGTGTCCTGTTTGGAGTTTTGTAATTAATCTGTCCATTTTTTTAGAGGGGTGTAGGATTTTAGGTTTGGCTAGTGGTTTTCTGAGCACTTTTTGGATTTGGCTATTTGAGTTTTGATATTGATTATGCCATTTTTTGGTTATTTTTTGTTTGTTTACACTTTTAATTTCTGATTTTGAGATGGGTAGGTTTAGGCTTATTTCTGGTATTTTGAGAGATAATTTAGCTGCTTTATCGGCGCTTTCGTTGCCGTAAATTCCTACGTGGGCGGGGATCCACAAGAAGGTTATTTGTTTGCCTGCTTTTGTTAGGTCGTTGGAGCTTTTAAGTATTTGGTTTATTAATTTAGGTCGTTTTTTTGTATTTTTGTTTTGGAGGGCTTGTAGCCCACGAAGCGAGTCAGTGAGAATTAGGATTTTTTGTTTGTTTTTTGATTGTTGGTTATGCAGGGCTGAGGCCATGCCCATAAGTTCGGCCGTGAATATAGATTGGTTGTTAGGGAGTCGGTAAGATTGTGTGGATATAACTGGTTGTGTGGTATGGACTCCGAAACCTGTGTGGTTGGAGATCGGGTCTGAAGATCCGTCAGTGTATATGTGACACCAATTTGGCCAATTTTCGTGTATGTAAGAAAGTGTGGTGGTTTTAGCTATGTTTGGGTCGGTTTGTTTATTTATTTGGTTAGTTAGCGTTGTGTCTATTTGGGGTATTTTGAGTTTAGGGGTGAAGATATTTGATTTTTTGCAGTTTTGTTTAAGATTTTGAGTTTGGTGTTCATTGAGGTAGTTAGTTATTCTTTGGGATATTGGGGTGAGTAAGGGGTGTTTGCGAGCTAGAGCTTGGTTTCTTGGGCTAATGTTTTGGTTAATTAGGTTTTGGATGAGAGGGTTTGTTTGGGACGCGGCCCAGAAATTAAGGCTTAGATGTTCCCTGCGTAGATTTAGTGGCATTTCTCCTGTAAGGGCCTGAAGTGAGGTGTAGGAGGTGCCATGTTGGGTGCGTGTAATTAGTTTAAGGGCTTGGTATTGTATTGAGTCAAGTTTTTTAGATAGAGAGTTGTTTAGGGTATTGTATATGGCGCAGCCGTAGTCTAGTTTTGATCTAATTAGTGTTGTATATAGTGAGAGGAGGGTATCTTTGGAGGCTTCCCAGTTAGAGCCGGTGAGACATCTTAATGTGTTAAGGTCTTTGCTGCATCTAGTTTTTAGGTTTTGGACGTGAGCCTCCCAGGTGAGGTGTTGATCGAAAATAAGTCCTAAGAATTTGGTTTGTTTTTGGAATTTGATTGTTTGGTTGTTTAGCTGGAGGATTGGGTAGGCAGGTTTCATGTTTTTATGTTTGAATACTATTCCTGTTGTTTTATCTGAGTTAATGGAGAAGCCCCATTTGTCTGCCCATTGTTGTATTTTATTTAGAGATTTTTGGATTAGGTTTTCTGCCATTTTAATGCTTTTAGTGCGGATCCATAGGGCTCCATCATCCGCGAATTTTGAAGTGTTTAGTTTAGGGGATAAGCCCTCGAATAGATCATTTATCATTATATTGAAGAGGGTTGGGCTGAGAATGCTGCCCTGGGGAGTGCCATTTTCTAGGGGACACTGGTCCGATAGCGTATGGTCTATACCCACGGTAATTTTGCGATTGTTTAGGAAATCTTGGATGAAGTTTATTATTTGGCCTTTTAGTCCTATTTTTTTTAGTTTTTGTATTAGCCCGTGGTGCCATACCATATCGAAAGCTTTAGAGAAGTCGAGGAATATGCCTATGGTGTATTGCTTGTTTAGCTGTCCTGTTTTTATATCCTGTTCTAGTCAGGCAAGGTTATCGAGAGTTGATCGGCCAGGAGTGAAGCCGCTTTGGTCGGGGTTTATGATGTTGTTTTGGTCTAGGTAGTGCTGTAGCCTATTTTTAGTCATAAGTTCCATTATTTTGCAGAGATTTGAGGTTAGGGATATGGGCCTATAGGAGTTTGTCTGATCTGCTGGTTTATTTGGTTTAGGTATCGGGATTACTAGAGCTTCCTTCCATGAGGATGGGACCTGTCCGTTTAGGTAAACTAGGTTGTATAGTTTAAGTAAAGTTTGGAGTAGTTTGGTAGGTAAGTGTTTGATTATTTGGTAAGAGGTGAGGTCTAGGCCAGGGGCTGTTCCTTTTTTTCTATTGTTTAGTACGTGATTTAGTTCTTCTATGGTGTAACTATTGAACTGCATGGCAAGTATTTATAAAACGACCGGGGGAGGAAATATTCTGGGGGGAGATTTTATTTCGTAGGGAGGGGGAGAATTTATTTCGAGAGGGGCGGAACTGTACCGGTATTATTGACACCGGCCACATGGAACTCTGGGTTGGAGAGTGTAGTTGTCGCAGCGCGCATTGATCCGGGAACCAGACCGGAAGTGACAGTTTGGACCGTCGCTTATGTCATTTCAAAAGGAGAGTTATTTCCCTTTGGAACAAAAAGATTGCCCAATAGTCAGTGTTGATAAGTCAATAATGATCGGTTAATCATCACACGAACAGTGATGATGGCGTTGAAATATGAGCACATACAGTCGTGCTGTGACTCGTTTGATTGAATTTGTTGTTATTTATTGTCAAAAAAGAAAGACGATATTTGCAATTGCAATAAGCTCCCAATTTATGCATCACACAATATGTTATTGCAAATTTCCATTTCATCTACCCTGAGCCTTTTTCCAATATTAAATGTTCAGCTCTTACAAGGAACGTCACAGAAAGTAGTATAGGTAATGGTGATTCTGCCGCAACCCCACTGGAGCCAGATTTATATACCTATACTGCTACTACAGGGGGAATTTTTTATGTGTAAACGCTGATGCGATTCAACGATCGTCATGAGATTAAGTTAAATTGACTCTAGCTCACCACTACCTTGAGTCAATCAATGATACCATAGAGGGAATTTTTAGCACAAAAACGATGATGAGACTAAACTAAATTGTAATGAAAATATTCTCTATTATTTTTACTCATACGCATACCATAATTTTTAAACAAAGTGATATTCAACATTTTTACTAAATTCTTCGTTCATTTTACTAGGAGACCAGACTATATACTCTTCTTGGTAATTGGAAAGAAACAATTGATGACCGTATTTTGTTTAACATTTTTGTGTGTTGAAACACTGTTATATTAAAGGGAAATATAACCATTTAGTCTGTTCGGGTAACCAATTCTAGCTATTGTTTCCTGAATAAAATATTATCTACTTCAGGCATACACATATTGTTTTGTGTCATGTGACACCAGATGTTGTCATGAACCAATACTCATGTCGAAAACAACCATAGAAATGTGAAACATCAATACTAGAGAATAACCAAGTTCGATTTTCCAACGAGAAAATTCCTTTTGGCGTGAACGTTGACAATAGCGGTACA